GAAATTAAGATGCAGAATCCACTAGATTGCAGCCTAGTTGCCAGTTGTAGCAAACACTGTGCATTGCAGCCGTAGAGCAAGCAATGACAGGTTTAGAGATCGCAGATTCTGCCTAGCCTAAGCTTAGCATCCATAACACGGCATATAGCTCAATAATTCAAGTCATGTTTATGCAGGTTGTCGCCTCCCATGATATTAACGTTCGCTGAAGTTCATGTCCTCTATCTGATAACCCGCATTAGTGTAGTAGACAATCCTTAGAAGATTATGCAACAGTGTGTAGCTTGCTTAAGCACGGCATGTTGCAGTAGTCAGATCTAAAGAAAATAGCATTACCAATAACCAGATAACCCATAGCAGCAAGCATATCTCAAGATAATTAGATGGCCTTAAACAATAGCTAAACATAAGCTTCTTGCTGTCGAAAGTTTACCCGCATACCAGCACTGCAGAAACACCCGATAGGCTAAAGGCTGATTTATACTCGATGCGTCCACAAGTTCGCTTAGGTGTGCGCGGTAAATATGACGTCATCGCGGTGTTGGCGGAAGTTCGCTTTGAGTGCGCGCAACGTCATTTCGTGTGGCGGTGTGCATGACATTTTTTGTAACTTCCGAGCAGCTCCGCTTCCGAAGATGCACAAGTTCAAAGCGACTCTAGCCGAACATGCACGTCTATGCCGGCATTTGTGTGAAACAGAAGCAGTTGATGTTAAGTTCAAACTCCACCAGGTGCAGCTTTCAACGTTTTTAGGGAAAACAATGTAGAGGTTTTTTTTGTTTTGTTTTGTTTTTTTTGCATAGTTTGTTCAAGGCTTTTTAATTGAAATATGTTTTATTTCTTTTTTTGTATAAAATAGAAATAGAATTAATTTAATTCAATTCAATTCAAGTTTATTTGTATAGCGCTTTTCACGATACAAATCGTTGCAAAGCAACTTTACAGCAAATTAAGTTTCTACAATATTTAGTTTCTAATAATATTTAGATGCTATTTATACACTATTTGCTTAAGTTGTCTTGGTTTTGATGCGAAATAAACACAAAAGCTTAAGATTATTTTAATCAGTTTGTACATAAAAAATTACTAATTCATCAACTCATTCATCACGCAAGAAATCTTGTACCGGCAAATGTCTTCTTCTCACCGGTGATTCCCGATGGTTTTAGAGGACAATTACGTCTCGTTGCCCCCTGTTGTTTCAAAGAATAGTACAACGGCAAACGCGACAAGTATAAAAGCCTTGTCCATTTGGGAAGGTGCGCGTGCAGTCAGCGGAGGCTCACGAAGCGGAGCCAGGCGAAAGTATAAATTCTGCTTAAGCAACGGCAGGTCTAGCAACAATATGATAGTGGACACTAGATAAGCCTTAACAAGCAAGCAATCCCAATACCCTGATAGCTTTAAGCAAAGACCTTCTGAAATGCATAGAGTGGGGCAGAAGAATAGTGCTAAAAAGAGCAGCATGCCCCTTTAAAGCAGTACGGCATATGGTCAATACTCGAATTTAGGCAACAGCATTTGCCCTTGTCTAGATAAAGTTTAGCATTGATACAACTGTAGAAGAAAATGTACGATCTGCACATCAGTATCAAGCACATTACCGATACAATAGTTAGCTTGAGCAACAGCATATCACTGATTTAAACACAGCGTGTTGGAAATAGTTGGATAAATTTAATGAAAGCATCCCCATAGATGAGCCTGAAGCAGCAAGCCTGTTTCATATTGACAGCCTTGACAATAGATTAAAACAAGGCTCGCTGGTAAATTTAACTGGTAATGTTACCAGTGTGACAATACGATAGCATGCCTAGCAAACATAACTGAACAACTAGCTTTAGACAATGAGAAATATCTGAAGCATGTTCGCCAATATAGCATTAGGCAATAAAATGAAAGAAACTTTGCTTAGTTTCGTGAAGACATTCAGAGATTAAATTAAGGTAAAATGGCAAGTTATTACATGGATGATTTAACCCTTCTTGAATATCTTGCTTCTTCCAGTGGGGAAGCAGATCTCGTGTAAAGTTGTTGGTTCAGTCGTATTATCACAATTTTGGCGATGAATTGCGGGCAAAGTGTCTATATCAATTGCGAGGAGTCATGCTCGCTCAGATCACTTTCAGTCTATCGGCTTGACAAACAATGCGGCGAATTCGCTTAAGTTCACAACTTGAATCTGGTGAGATACTCTGTGGGAATCCTGTCGAAAATCCTGATTGAACGCTTCCTATGGAGATGGAATTCGCCTTCTGATTAGTTCCTGAGCGAAGCGATAGCTGCTGAATAATGACTGAAGGGACCTTTTGAAGGGAATTATGATTGGTGTCGGGATCCTGTAGGTAGACGTGGATCAGCTGAGTGTCAGCTGATGCGAGCTTGACTAAGATGGCCTGACAGAACTATCGCTACGCTCCATTTCTGTATATTTATTCCGAGTTGGCATTAACTGAGGTCCTCACAAGAGGCCGGATCCAGAGTGGAGCTTGTACAATCTCTAGTTATCTCGGGATCGGCATACTGAGGTAGAAACAGAAACGTTAATATATAATAATTACCATAGCTGTTGTTCATGACTTTTCGAACAAAGAATAATCATGTGCATTTGATCAGACATAACTGGAGTACAAGGTTATGAGAACTCCTAACATTATTAGGAAGGTTATTCCAGAGTTTAGGAGCCAAATGTGCAAACGTTCAATCCCCTTTACTGGACTTTGTTATCCTTGGTACTATCAAAAGTCCAGCGTTTTGCGACCTTTAAGAGTTTGATGGATTGTGGTGTGATAGGAGACTGTTTAAGTACACACGAGCTAAACCATTTAGGGCCTCATAAGTAAGTAGCTATATTTTATAACTGATACAGAATTTAATAGGCAGCCAGTGTAGAGATTGTAAATATGGGGTGGTATCCCTGTTGAAAAAACCAGCATATGCTGGTTAGGAATGTTTTGAAGCATGGTTGCTGGTTTGAGCTGGTCCTTAGCTGGTCATGAGCTGGTTTAAACTGGTTCTTAGCTGGTCATGTACTGGTCCTAAGCTGGTCCAAAGCAACTAGCTCCTGCTCAGGACCAGTTTAGGACCAGCACATGAGCAGCTTGAACCAGCTCATGACCAGCACATGATCATCTAAGGAGCAGCTCAAACCAGCAGCCATGCTTCAAAACATACCTAACCAGCATATGCTGGATTTTTCAAATAAGAGTTTGATGGATTGTGGTGTGATAGGAGACTGTTTAAGTACACACGAGCTAAACCATTTAGGGCCTCATAAGTAAGTAGCTATATTTTATAACTGATACAGAATTTAATAGGCAGCCAGTGTAGAGATTGTAAATATGGGGTGGTATCCCTGTTGAAAAAACCAGCATATGCTGGATTTTTCAAAAGGGATGATCATATTTATTTGATTTAGTAAGAACTCTAACAACTGCATGTTGGACTACCTGTAGCTTGCGTATTGAAGAGGCATGACAACCACCTAGTAGTGCATTGCAATAGTCCAATTTAGAGGTCATGAATGCATGAACTAGCATTTCTGCATCTGGTGCATAAAGTGGTTTGCTGGTTGAAGCTGTTCCTAGCTAATCTCCTAGCCTATCTAACCCGGTGTTTAGCAGATATAGCTGGACTTAAAAGCTAAAAAGTACTCCAAAGCCACCAAAACAGTCCAGCCTGGCCAGCTTGATGACAAGCTATCCAGCTTATTTTATTTATTTATTTTTTCAGTAGGGCAGTAGCAACTTGGTGAACTCTAACAATTAAATCATTGTCAGTGTGAACACCACCTTACACTTTAGACTACTAGCCAGTTCTAATAAAAAGTAGAAAAAAAAAACATTTGGTAACACTTTCTGTGAAGCCCGTATTTATAGTACATTATAAGGGTATTTTTAAGGCATTATAATGAATGCATAATGCATTATAAAAAAACGTATAATATGTTATATCAACTCATGAATAATCATAACAACAGTTATAATACATCATAATACTTACGTATTTGTGGTTATAAGTTTAAGAGTATGATTATTTATAACACAATGAACACCATCGCGTTAAGTAAAGTAGCATACGAAAAATGGCAAGATATGACACTTATAATACAATATAACTATGAGAAATATAGTCCATTGTAAAAGTGGATGCAACATGTTCATTGTGTTATAAATCATCATACTCTTAAAAGCTATAACCACAAATAAGTAAATATTATAATATATTAAAACTGTTCTTATGAATATTCATGAGATGATACAACATATTATAAGGTTTTTTATAATGCATTATGCATTCATTATAATGCCTTAAGAATACCCTTATAATGTATCATAAATACGGGCTTCATAGAAAGTGTTACCAAACATTTTAGCCTTTATTTTCAAAAGCTATTTAGTAGCTGTTAGCATTTAGCATGCCACAGTTTCGCTAAAGTAATTCTATGGCCTCTGCTCTCGCAGTCCTCAATTCTTTAAATGTGTGTTTTGGGACGTTGCTATGAAATGTGATGTTGTATTTTCACTCTGCCTACACAAACACATTAGGTTAGTATTTTATTGTTAAGATTAAACCACACATAGCATTATTATTAAATGCATTAACTTGGCGTATTAGTACAGAAACATACCTCATTCAGTCGCTGAAATTATACAAAGGCATGGTTCTTCTCTACGATATGTGCCTATGTGCCAAGCTATGATGAAGAATATGGTACAAGACACATTGAAACTGTAGATGCACACACCTATTACACCACATTCTCTGCTGTGTGAAGACCAAGAGCATTCTAACCCCTTCCTCCCCCTCCACCACTCGCTCTTCTCCTTTCTTGCTCCCACATCTCTTTATATACCCCAAATATCCATGCAAAACCTGGTCTCCCATCTCCCTCTCATTCTCAAATCCTTCTCTCTTACCCTTTTCTACCTGGCATATTCTCCCTCTTTTTTGTCTTCCTCTCTCTCTCTTTCTTTCTCTTTCTTTTCTCTCTCTTGCAGGTCCTCCCAGTATCCGGGCCATGCGGAATATCACAGCTGTGGCCGGTCGCAACACTTTCATTAACTGTCGTGTGATTGGTTACCCCTATTACTCCATCAAGTGGTTTAAAGACGGGACAACGCCGTTGCCAGACAACCATCGTCAGGTGGTATATGAGAATGGCACTCTGAAGTTGAGTGATGTGCAGAAGGGTACAGATGAGGGGGCGTATCTGTGCAGCGTGCTCATCCAACCCCAGCTCTCCATTAGCCAGACTGTCTACGTCACAGTCAAAGGTTAGTGATTACTGCTAATGGTTTTGGGGATGTTTATAGCCCCTTATAATAAGTCACAAGCAGTCACAATTAAAAAAATATATAAAAAATTAGAAGGTCCCTCTACAATTTAATTTGCGCTGTTTGTTCACAGGTTTTTAAACAAAAATAAATAAATAAAACCTAGATTATAAGTTTAAAACTGTTAATGAATATTTTTAAGATTTCATCTCCTTCATACCAAGTCTTACAATGATCCACATAATTTATTATTATTCAGAGACTTAATAACTTCACCATCATGTTGTGTAAATTGTTTATTTGCGGATAATTGTGATTTCTAAAACGTACATATAAATTAGTGTTGATTCGTCATTTTGTATTTAGCATGTAATATTTTAATATAATCATTAAATATGTTTTTGAAGAGAATGTAGTCTTGTAAATAGTTTTTGTGTAAAAAAAAACAAAAATGGTGCATTCATATCAGTCACATTGGATTTATTGTGAAAATGTTGTGACCATTTTCTCATGAATTGATTTTTCATCAGACTTGATTTAGTCTTTGTGTTTTGCATACTGTATATTTTATGCATTATTTAGGCACAAAGCTTATATATATATATATATATATATATATATATATATATATATATATATATATATAT